TGCAATCCTCCCTGATCTGCTCCAGGATCCTCTCCTCGTTGTAGCTGGAGGGACGCTGCCTCCTGGAAGCGTCCAGGCCCGCGTCGGCCTTGGAGCGCACAAAGTAGAACCTCTTGCCCATTCTCTGGATCTCACGGACCAGCCTGGTGTGGTCGGAGCTGAAGCACTGGGAGCCGACGATTATGAAGAACTCGAATCGGTGTTTAGAGGGAAATAGGACGTGCTCACCCCTGGCAGGTCCCAGAGAGTGACATCTGGAAGGACGGGATCTGGATAAGGCATTGGCTCCCTCATGGTATCTAACATCCCGGTTTCAGCAGCACCTTCATCACCAGCACGTAGCGCCCGCATGGCGTTGATGAGGGAGGACTTCCCAGAGCCCAGGGGCGATGTTCAGGGTGTGGCTGTAAAAATCCTGCACATTAGAAATCACTTCTGTCAGGCTCCCTTGATAGTGGCTTTGAACCCATCAAGAGCGATGGCACTCAGTCTGCGGCAGAGAAGAAACATTTCAGTTGCAAGTTAATGCTGCCTCTGGAAAATCCAACGCCGACAGGCTACAGCACATTACTGATGGTGGCAACACCAAGCCCTTGAAAGTTAGGGAAAGGCACATTTACGATAGGGTGACCAGATCACAGAGGCGAAATATCGGGATGCGTGGGGGGGGGAGGGCGCGAGGGGAAGGGAGAAGGGGGCGGAGCCAAAAAATAAAAAAGCTGGTGGGGAGAAAAAAAAAAAAGCACGAACAAGCAGGAAGCGCCTAGGCTGGTACTGGCCACACGCAGATGTAAACAGTCGGCCCCCGGGTCCCAGGATGCAACAACCCCCGCCCGGAGCCCTAGGACTGACACCCCGATGCCGCAGAGATGGGCACGGACAGGGGGAGTGCCCTCGCCAAGTCCTTATGCAGAAACCGGCCTGGGCTGGCCGCGGGCGCACCAGCGTGGGGCAGCCCCTTCCCTGGCGGGCTCCAGCTCCCCACGGGCCCAGGAGTGCGAAGCTGTAGCGACCTTCACGCCACTGGGCTACACCCCGCTGGAGAAGCAGGGACCTTGCCGTGGCCCCCAGGCCGGGACTCGCCCAAGCATCACGGGACGTGATCTCCTCACCTAGGGTCGCACACCCAGCCAGGCACACACTGCTCCCCCCGCACTGCCCCCCGGAGGCAGACAGACTCACAGATTCTAATTATCCCCAGCACCACGGTGGAGCCGCCGCCCGACCGGCCCTTCCAGCCGCTCCTCCGCCTCTCCCTCGCCGCATGTCAGGCAGAGGCATGCACCTGGCACCCGGCGCCAACTACACCCCTCCGGGGCCGGGACGCACGTGGTGGAGGTGAAGCCCCGAGGAACCGGAGTCCCCACGCAGGCAGCTGCTGCTCCCCACCACCACCCATGGGCGTGTAGGGAGCCGGTTCCCCAGGCCGGACCCGGGGCGGCCCCCTGCAGGTACCGCCCCGCCCTCCTGCCTGAACTCGGGCCAGGGCCAGGGCCAGGCCAGACTCACCCCGCTGTCCCCCGGGCCTCCTCCCTCCAGCGCTTGCCTGGGAGGGAGGAGGAATGCGGCATGCTTCGGAAAGAGGCGGGGATTTGGGGAGGGATCCAATGGGGCAGTGAGGGGGTGGGGCCAGGGCGGGGATTTGGGGAGCTATCCAATGGGGGAAGGAGGGAGCGGAGTTGGGGTGAGGGATGGGGCGCGAGCCGGAGTGGAGGGCAAAAATTGCTTATTTGTCCAGTGTCCCAACCAATGTTTGGTCGGGACGCGGGACAAACGAGCAAATATCGGGACAGTCCCGATAAAATCGGGACGTCTGGTCACCCTACATTTACGATGGCTCATGCAATCTTAACTCTGCCCCTTGCGTATCCGGCCTGGGCACTGAATGAGGCAGGGGCAATGTGGAAAAACCAGGAGTTGTTTGATTTTTAATCATTATTTATTATTTGTAGTATAATAATGCAGATGAATCCTGACTGAGATCAGGGTCCCCCATTGTGTTGGGTGCTGCGAAGACCCCCCCACCAAGCTCAGGGCCCCTGTTGTATCAGACATTGCACAGACAGTGCCCCCCAAATGAGATCAGGGCCCTGTCGTGCCAGGCGCTGCACAAACCCCGACTGAGATCAGGGACCCCTGTTATGCCAGGCACTGCGCAGACCCCCCTGGCTGAGATCAGGGGCCCCATTATTCGAGGTGCTGCATGAACCCACAGGTGAGAATTTTCACAAGATCTCAGCTTCCATGAAGACACGGAAATACACGGGGAGATTTTTGAGCCAGCCCAGCACCCTGCTCCCTGGCGGGGACAATATCTCAGCTGTGAATGGGCAGAGCAGTGCTCAGACCAGCCCTCTCCCTCGGCATGTCCTCTAGGCCGGGGGAGCTACGGGGAGCCCTGTAGCTGCTCTGGCTCACCCCAAAGGCCTGGCAGGAAGACGGGGAGTGCACCGCTTTCTCGAACCCCATCCCGGCTCCGCGCACAGGAACCGAGGACACCGGAATCAGGGCCCGGCTCTTTCACACAGATGCCGGGGGAGAGTCTGAGGAACCAGAGCTGGGCGCAGGTTTCTCAGCCGCAACTTTTGTAGGTGAAAAATGCAGATTCGTCGATGGCAAGGGACTGCGCGGGGTCCATCGATCTGACCATCCGCCTGCGGGCCACAGGCCAGCTTGAATTCCTCTGCAGGCCTGTTTGGCAGCCACCCCAAACTGCAGCAGCAAAGGAAACACCGGGGGACCAGCAGAGGAGGCCCAGGGACGAGGGAAGGAGGCCCGGTGGCAAGCGAAGGAAACACCAGAGGACCAGCGCAGGAGGCCCAGGGGCGTGTTTCCCCCAAGGACTGAAAGGAGAGGGGGTGTTTGACTGTAGAGGGGGGTTGGAAAATAAGTAAACTGACAACACTGTAGCTTAGGGTTACCATATCTAATAAATAAAAAAAGAGGACCCTCCACGGGCCCTGGCCCCGCCCCTTTCACCACCCCAGCCCCGCCCCAACTCCGCCCCTTCCCCGCCCTAACTCCACCCCCTCCTCCCTCCCACTCCCAGCCAGGGGGAAAGGGCTGCCCCAGGGCTACCGGCTTCAGGGTTTGTCGGGCAGCCCCCAGACCCTGCGCCCCCGGCCGGCGCTTCCCCAGCGCAGCTGGAGCCCGGGAGGGGAAGCGCCCAGCCGGGGGCGCAGGGTCTGGAGGCTGCCCGGCAAACCGTGAAGCCGGTAGCGCTCGGGCTTTGGGCAGCCCCTATGCCTCCGGACCCTGCTCCCCTGGCCGGGCACTTCCCCTCCCGGGCTCCAGCGGCGCAGGGTCCGGATCCATGGGGGCTGCGTGAAGCCGGTAGCGCTCGGGCTTTGGGCAGCCCCTATGCCTCCGGACCCTGCTCCCCTGGCCGGGCACTTCCCCTCCCGGGCTCCAGCGGCGCAGGGTCCGGATCCATGGCGGCTGCGCGAAGCCGGTAGCGCTCGGGCTTTGGGCCGCCCCTATGACCCCCGCA